GTAATAATGGCAGTATTACAAACGGAGGAACTATGCACAAACGAATCACTCAGAGTGGGGGGGGTTTGATTTAAAATGCCTTCCGAACGTGCAATGCCATACGGTTAAAGGCTTTTCGATACGTACGTATAGATGCCGGAAAACCAGATGTTACTAATTGTTGCCATACGCAGACAGAAGTGTCGTTCGGATATTTAAATGTCCAAACAGTTTTCAATAACCTTATGAGTAGTGTGTTGCGTCAAGTTCGGGGTAATTTCTTTTGCCCCCCTCAAGACCTCCATTATCAATATAGAACGAAGAACGGAATGATGTGGAAACTGTAACACTTAGTCTCGCGCAACTCTGTTAAAAAGGGGGATGCTTCTACAAGGATGGTCGCCATGCTGAAAGTAGAAACAACATCAACTCTCAAGTACGTTCAGGGATCACCACAGAGGACGACCTTCTTCCAATTTAGTGATTCCGACATCCTTCTAAGGATTTTGAAATGCGCATTTGAAATTTGGAGCATCTCGGGATAAAACAGCATGAGTGGTAAGACATATAAAATTCATCGTGACACCAGTAAACTGCTCACTGGCATCATCAAGATAAGATGCGCTGGGAGATTGCCTGTGTCAGTTAGGTGAATAGTGCGACAGTTAACCGAGCGAGTAGCCGAAGTCAGAGAGGATGAATTGGGACAAACCCATGTGATAAACCCAGCCGAACAGTATTCATCGTCAAAGATTATGACGCATTGTTACTGTATCGCAAACATGTTCAGCTGATGCTGACTAGTTTTCACACTAAATGGCCTACAATCTGAAAGTTTTTTGACGCCCCGCTGTTGGTAAGCAAGACTCATCGTCAATTACCAAGTCATCAAAAATTCTCAGTGTAGCGACGCATACTACTTATGGGGTGTGTGAGTAGTTTTTGGTAGTGTCAAAGCTCCGCCCCACATCTAACAAAAAACTTAAGTTTATTGCGGAACTTGTGGAACTGATTTGCAGTGTTCGTTCACGACTGTGTGACAGTCGAAAAGTATCCATGAAATTTCAAGAAGACGTGTGAGAATGTTCAATTTTTCAAAACACTGTGTATATATGAGACGTTTACTTTTATGTCCAATAACTTGCCACCGATTAGTTGGTGTTTACTAATAAGAGACTTCACAGAGAGGAATTTTCCTCTGTGTGTTGGTGTATTTGACACCAACGTAATGAGCTCATAAAGATCATGTTGGTTTTTTTTCACGAACGCGCGAACTGCGATCCATGAGTGTATTTCAGTAGGACGTGTGCCGATTGAGATTTCGGTAAACTACATTTTTATATTTGTAATGCACTACTCATAAGGTTGCTGAAAATTCGTCAACAGCAACCTAATGAGTAGTGTATTACAAATATACATGTGTTGCGATATCTCGAATATCATAGCGACTGAAACATGAGGTGGCCTTGTGCAGCACATCAAAACCGTGAGATTCAGCTGGGTTTCAGGTGAGTCTCTTGCTAAACCAAAATTGGTTGCAGATGAGTGTACTAATTTCGTGCAATTTGGCTTCAAGTAGAACATAAGGTTGACGGAAACTCGGGGGCTGGGCCTACCCGATGAGCCCTATGAAAGACGAAACTGGTCGTGCACTGTCGATGAATTTTCAGTAACCTTGTGAGTAGTACATTACAAGTGTTAAGTTTGTTCATTCATGCTCCGATCTACTTGACTTACGGTGGTTATGGCTGACGTACACTCAAGAAGTCGTTCTTAAATCAACATGTTAGAAAAGTTCATTAAACCGGGTTACAGTCGAATAACACTTTCTTATCTAACATCTGCAGTTTAGATTCCCTTCTTTTAATCTGGCCTGATCAATCTTTGACAGTTCGCTTTGAGACAAGCACCCAAGTGAAGTGGTAGACTTTTGCTTGCAAATATTGACAGTTTCAGTTCAAACCAAATACTTACTACTTCCGGTCAGATACCTTTTATCAGTGATTTGAGGCGTCTAGTTACAAACTTCAGAAAAGCTGATTTAATTACTCCATTTCCGTTTAAGTTTTTACCTACCCCTTTGGCGTGACAGTTGCCGGTGCATGGTATCAGTGAAGCACTTTATCGAATGCGCACGTAATAGCCACGCAGTCGTGCAATTCCATATGAATATGTGATTTTCGAAGCTAACTTATTCGGAATGATGCATATTAGTAACAGTACTATAAGTCTCAAACAGTTATCGGTAAGCTTTTTCAGTGCCCTCAGGCACGTGTTTTTTCGAAAATGGTCCGTCCCACAGGGGATGTCTCCTCTTGAATAGGGTCCAGATGACTGCTGGTCACAACCGTTCGGACAGAGTTCATATTCTATATCTTCGAAACTGGAGAGAACGAAAGAGTTTTGATACACATCGTATGGGAAGAATACTCTGTTCGGAAATGAAGGCACTACATCATCCTTTTGGTCTGCTTCATAAGAATTCTCAAATCAACTGAAGACTGTCAGATATGAACCCTCAGACGGAAGGACAAGCAACGCTTTTGCATGTCTGGATTCGAGCCAGTCACACTGATGACTGAAGACCCGTGGATGAAAAGCATTTGGTTCAACTCCCATCCGGATGATTGATTGTTCGAACTTCTCCAAAGTTCCATAAAGTGCGCACTTTGTAGACTGCTTACAAAAACAAGACCACTGGAGAGGGTTCTTCACTTGCAAGCTAAGATCTCGGTTAGCAAATTGAGAACTTGAATTTGTTTTTAGACGCATTCACAGTACAGAAACTCGGTGGTCGATTTGGGTGGATTCATTCATAGAATTGCACAAGGTCACCTTCACAACTGTAGAAGTCAGGTTTCGGAACCTCTCCTCCCTTATTCTTGACTGTTTTTTTTTAAAACACACTGGTTACCATTAAAAATGTACTTCTGGATAACAATTTTCGGCTGCATCAATGAATACAATACCGTACACACAGTTTTACTGTGAAAATTAAGTTTTGATTGGAAGGATCACGTGTTACAGGCAAAACGGGTAATTACATATCTATTAGGTCGAGTCTAACGCCCTCCGAGCTGACAGTGCTGTCGTTTGCTCTTGCGTGTAATGTGTTCAACTGGATGGTGACCGAAAGTTTTCAGGGCGTACGATAACATGTGTTGCGTGGATTGTGTTGAACACAACCGGGTTCGGTGGCTGTGAGCTCAACTATGGCTGGACCTTTTCGACCTGAATAACGAGATAATTGTGTAAGGTAGGCGCGGTGGTCATGTGAAACCAGTGCGATCTTGGGTCTACTCAAAACTCTGTCTGACAAGTTCTGATGTCGTTTTTACTCTACATAACTGATGACAACCTGCGCCGAGAACAGCGAGTTGTTGCTGCCATCAGTCGAACTGTTGTCACCTCGAACGTGTTAACCTCACAAACGACTCGCAAGGGGGTGTAAGAATTACAAGGTTGGTTGTTCTATCAGTTTAACATGAATCTGATGAATAGAGACACGTGGTAACTGATAAACGGTTCGCTGGAGTTTGATTCACCATCGTTTTGAGCTTGACCAGACTAGTTGCAGTCTGGTCTACTGGTGGACGGAATATCCTGATAAAAAAAGCTACTGACATACAGGAAAGTCCAGAAACTGCACTTTCGGTAATAATGGAAACAGCCTAGTGGCAAGCGTTTCTGATGAATGGTTCATTAGGCAATTGATGGACAATATGTGGTGTGGACTTAATATACTACTCATACCACCATAAACGAGAGATTTAGCTCCATGCTTTCAAGCCTCCTGTCAAAACCAAACTCGTGTGTTTGCCAAAGTCAGCGTGGGTCTGTTTTATCACATGTTTCATGCGGGATCAAAGGTCACTGCTGTGGACTAGAAGGAATCGATTTCTTGATGTTCAGTAGCTCATTCAAAGTTGCATACAATGTAATTTCATTTGTAATTCCCAATATGGCTCTCAAAATCTAGGAATTCTATGATACATTAACTTCAGCGAGAATGGAGTCACTGTCTCAACTCAACTTCCAAATTTCCAAATGTCCACCATGATTTGTTTCATAACTGTAAAGGAATCTGCACGACGTTTCTGGAGATTGCTGAGGATTTTACGAGACATGACAAATGCACTCATTTTTTAAAATACCAGTTTAGTTTTCGCTGGAGATTAATCTGGCACCAAGCTCTCGTTTATGATGTTCTTCTTCAACTGAAAATGTTATATCAGACAGCCCAATGTTCCAGTTGGTAGGATTTTCAAGATGTTACAGTATATTGCATGGACGTAACATGTTGCTTGTGAGGTTACTGAGGGCCGTTTAAGAGTTTTCAGCAACCTTATGAGTAGTACGTTACGTCTATCTCACGAGACAGGTTTTTGCACTTGACGAAGGAATTCACAGTTTGATGCAAATTCCAAATCATAGTTGTTCGTTTGGAATAATCCTGAATGGTCTAATGAAACACCTGTCATCTTGAAAGTTACTCTCCCAAGATCTTGTGCGTAAGCGCTTGTTTAGCGAATTGCATAGCCGTCGATTAGCTGTTTACTCCCTCATTTCTCATTGGAACATTTCAAAAAACAACCAGATAGCTTCAAATTGGACTTTCAAATCTGGTACCGGGTTCATACCGAGTTACGATATGACCTTACTTGGTAAAGTGCAGTTACAGCTAATAAGATGAGAAAGGTCTTCGTAGTTTGGGTTCGACCAATCCGCCCGATGGAAATTTTGTGATGTCTCAGAGACCAAAGTTTGGGGAGATGTTGGAGTCACCTCAGCCAAAATAGGACGATGATTTCCAGAGAGCAGCATGGACCATCCTGTTCAGAACATTTTCCCCTTCACTTTGAAATGCTTTGGGACCAGTGACGATTGTGCACTGTAAGGTTTGCGTGTATGAATGCTTTGAGGATGGCAGGCAGGTGGGGCTGCGATGTGTTAGTTGGATTTATCGGTAGGTTGGTAACTCTCACCAGCTGTTCACAAAGAAGCACAAGATCAGAGGTTTATCAGTTTATTCTGTGAGCACCAGAACACGTGGGGTCGATGGGTGACAGGAACAGAATGTGGGGACACAAATATATAGAAATACAACTAGTGTTAGTCTTTGGGAGAGTCTGTCCGCTGGATGGTATTCAAGAATATCTTTATGTTATGACCTCATTATTGCAGCCGCTTCTGAAAGCAGACAAAAGGGATTGTAATTTACGATGGCGCACACTTGAAATCTGTCACCACATTACAGTACTGGCTACTTTTCGGGGTGACGTGGACCAAGTGGTTAGAGCGCGAATTTACTGACCGGAAGGTCTGTGGCGCGAACTGACCTCTGCCTCTCAACTTCCCCTGTCTAGACTTGTGCATCCTGGCAGTATCCCAGCCCTCGTGTTCTGAAAGCGACAAAAGGGATTGTAATTTACGATGGCGCACACTTGAAATCTGTCACCACATTACAGTACTGGCTACTTTTCGGGGTGACGTGGACCAAGTGGTTAGAGCGCGAATTTACTGACCGGAAGGTCTGTGGCGCGAACTGACCTCTGCCTCTCAACTTCCCCTGTCTAGACTTGTGCATCCTGGCAGTATCCCAGCCCTCGTGCCTCCTTCGTGTGGTATTGCAGCAGGCACCGAAAGGATGCTACAGTTGAACGATTTTTTACTTGCTACTTTCCATTCACCCACGACAGCGGACTTGTGCCATCAATGGATGGGGTGTAGGAGCAAAACTCATGGGTAAAATCGCAGAGGTTGATCGCCACTGATTAATAATTCTGTTAGTTTCTCACGAACAATGAAGACTTCTCACTTCGACGTGAGGATTTACTTCGCTTTCAGTATGGGTTTTGATTGTTAGGTGATTGAATGTGGCATCGTCCTTTCACTCAAGTGGGGTGAAAGAAAGTTTCATTGATTGGGCTCTGGAGCGAATTTGTCTGTTGCGATACTCTGAAGAGAACTCAACTATGCTTATCGTTCAATCTCTTGGTGCTTGTAATATATGCCTTTGAAAAGGTGGGTTTAGCCGGCAGATCACAGGTAGTCTGGATTCGTGAGCCGAGTATGGCCGTGATACTTCAGCTAAGGTGTTGAAAAGCAGCTAATGCGTTCACGAGAGGTGTGGAGGCATTCCGGTAACAGAATCATTGGTCTGCGGAAGATCCAAGCGGAAGTCAGATGTGATGTCAAACTCATAAAGTTGCTCAAAACCTTTTGATAATCCACAGTAGATTTCCCCTTCCCACTTGGGCGAATCAGTTGGGCACAGTCCCCGAGTTAATTTGAACCGTAGGTCCCATCTGAACACAAATTGGACTGATTTCGACAAACACTCTTATTTGCACACGGAATGGATTTTGACAAAATACTCGAATCATTCCAGCTAAAACACAAATCTGATTTCGACAAACACTCTTATTTGCACACGGAATGGATTTTGACAAAATACTCGAATCATTCCAGCTAAATACCCCGTTTGTACTGGTCCACTTCAACTGATCGTACTGCTACAAACTGTGGCATGTGTCAGTTGGCATTGGTACGATATTCGGGGGAGAACGCAATTCATCATCTAAGCGTAACATACTACTCATAAAGTTGCTACAGATTTTCCGACACGACCGGTTTCTCCTTTCTTGGGGTTCATCAGGCGGCCGAAGACTAAGCGGGCCATCATAATTGGAAGGTTTAACTGGATTAACTTGAGTATCTTGTTAAAACCAGATTTACGTGCAAATGGGATTATTGGCCGAAGCTGTGGCATTCTTCAATCAGCGCAAGGATGAAATCTAGTTTTAGTGTGCCCCGTGTCGGAATGTTTTCCCTGCTTGATTGTTACTGCACAAAGATTGCTGTGGATGCACGTAACCGGCCGAGTTTTATTGGGAAAAATCGTCAGGGGGGAAGTAAATTTGACGAAAAATTAGTAGCCAGTGGCATTCATCGTCAAGGCTGGTATCAACTGTTTGGCTCACTGATGAAAAAACACGGCGATGGGGTTTTACAGAGTAGTTGAACGCTCTGCCATTCATAAAATAAACGTTTAAAGTGATATTTCTTGTGTTGGAGGGACTTCTGTGCAAGCTTTACAGTGTGACAAGACGTTAAGGACCTTCACTGAATTAAACAGATAGATGTTCGAACCCTTGTAGGAGCTCAAACACCTGTTTGCGAGAAGTCTATATGCATTTTTGGGTAAGTAAATACAGTACGGTACTAGTACCTGGGTCCTATAACTTTGGAAGTAACCTAAAAAAACACGTGTTTCCCACAGGTTGCACGCACCAATCCACTAACAGTGGTAATTACGTGGCACCAAACGATACAAATGTGGAACCAGTCGACTTTTCAGTTTGGATCAACCATTCCAGCATGCGTGTTATCGATCACACGGACAGTATACAGCAGTACACAACGCCTCCGCATAGTGTGGGGCACTAGCAACAAACAGCCAGAAAACCAGGTCACTTCAAAAGACATGTCACGAACGGAAAAATACTGTACTTTCAAACAGGAGGGAGTAAAAGCCAGTCCCGGAGGTGAGAGTCTAGAATACGGCCAAAATCTTTGGGGAATCCGGGGAGACTCCATTCGTTTTTCTAAACCGTGGTTGACCTAGCTTGCCAACAAAAGTGAATGTGTTTCGGTGAGATGTTCAAATCTGAGATTTCAGATAAGGTTACACGATCAAAACATGTCCTGAGTACAAGATGACCAAGAACTCTACCAGTTTTTCTAGGTTGCCTGGCACGCGATGGTTTGTTCTTGTCTTGCAGCTGGGCCGGTTTTTGTTGTACGGCTCGAATGTCCAGTTCATTGAATAAACACAGACGAAGCCAGCGACGAAAGATACACCGTTGATTGTAAATCAACTATCCGTTCCTGCGTGGACACTTCGTATTCTGTTGGTTGGTGATCGACCGTACCAACATAACTAGAGCCGTCCATTTTTCTTCATTTGGGTAAAGTTTGAGAGATTCTTGAATAATCCAGTTGATGACCTGCACATACCTTTCTTATTTTGTTCTTGGACTGAAATCACGTGGGATATTACTGAACCACAGGGTATTTGGAAAAGGGTCTTGGAAATTGAGAACGTATCTCGTAACAGTACGATGTTCTTGAAGGAATGAATTCAATTTAAAACTGATGTGGTTTTCATGGGAGACTCAAGTTGTTAAGTATGGATTGCTGGATGGACCCGAACGCTCAGAGTGGCAACGTCGAGCATTTGGGAAACGAGTTAAGGTAGATTCTGCTCATCGTTTCCAGAGATACATACCAATGATGCTAGAAGGTAGCCGGAAGTTTTTATGTCCAGCCAAGCCTCGACCCCCTTCTTCGTTGACCGCCCCGAGAGCTTTCGATGTGATACGATGGGGTCAATTTTACAATCACAATGTTCTCACAACCTTGTGCTTCTCAAGATGATCCACATTTGCGTAGCCCATCCGGTCGTTAAGAATTTAACAGCCGAAAGGGATGTTTGGCTGCTTCATTTGAACGAGTTAGGGTAGAGGCAGCCGAGGAACCACTTGGCAAAATGTGCGCACTTTTCGCAGTTATACTGGGCAACATCTGGTACCAGGCTACCAGATCAACAGCTTTAAATCACTTTGTTTCCCGGATGACACAAGGTCCCTTTCCTAGATTACTATTCCCCCCAAAAAACGCTATTTTAGAAATCACTAGAAGAAATATGAAGAAAAGAACGGGCCCAACAATATGTGGGCTCTTTTAAGCTGCGTCACTCTCGGTATGCACCACATTAATATAAGCAGTTTCCGGAGAGGTTGGGGACAATGGGCACGCGGAGTAAAGAGAGGCGCATCAAAACCGCGCTGTATAGGGTTGGAGTTGGAAAATTTACCTGAATTCGCCATGTCCAAAAACTACATATCTGATACTCAGAGTAACTTCATACCATTAGTTCATGCCCCATTATTCTCCGATGTCTTGAGTGAAGACGAGTATGAACAGAATACTGAGACCGCAAATGGCGGTGTGCCTACCTAAATGACCTTCATATTACTGCGTGTTCCACACCGCCTACCAGGGAATCAGGTCGGCTTTGAGGCCACCTTGTGACCAGTCAGTCTGCACTGTTTCTTATGATGTTTTGTTAGTCAATCCACATACGTCTTGGCCCAGGTTTGATTCATCTGTGGGCTGCCCCATTTGCTCAGAGGTACATTGAACACGTGACCAGGTTCACCGCGCCTTGGTCTTCCATCTTCGTGTTGCAGGGCGACAGGTTACAAGAGCCGACAGTTTTTAGGTAGTATTAAATTACTGATCGTGAACAGATTGCTCTCGAACACTCCGTTTTAATTTCCCAAGGGTCAGGCAACGTTGTCAAGCCCACTCATAAACACCATACTGACGATTAGTCAACTGTTCGCACCTGAGCATTCCTCGTGTCAGCAACAGACCAGAGTCGCTAGTTCGAACATTTGGTTCTCTGCCGAACAATGGTCCCTAGAAAACAATGGACACAATTCCCCGGTAACCCTTATTTCCGCTCACTTACACGGAGCTTTTAGTCACAATATCCCGTATGCTGTTGCCTGGTGAATGTACATTGTTGTATCCACCACATGAAACTCGGCCACGTGTCTTTGAATAGTTGATACCAGATAGTCAGTGGAAAATAGGACATGACGTGGAACTGCCGGAGGTCTAACACATTCTTCAATCCTTGCTCGGAAATAATCACTGTGTTGAAGTAATGACCTGATTGAAAAAAACATCAAGTACGGAGAGTTATTTCCGTGACATGGTCCCAACGGTTGAATACTGCCTCGGTCGACGCACGCTGAACTCAAGCCACTGTTATGTAAAAACTAATGCGTTTGTCTCAAGCTGCTGAACAGTAAAGCAAATTTAGTTTGCAGTTATGAAGCTATAGCTGCGTTGTACCGGGTCGCTTCCATCAGCTCCGAAAACAGTACGTTCCTACGAAGCCTTCTCCGAGATAAAAGTCATAGTAGAGGCTGATTTATTGCGCTGGCAATCCGCTGAACAGAGGTGGAAGCTCTAAACTTAGATGTTGACAAACTTCGGCGTTCGCGCCAGCTCAGATAACGAAGCAGTGTTAACTGGCAGGCCAGAAGCTGCATATTCAACCACAGTCCCCAGCGCTTGTTTCTTTTTTCACCTACGCTATGCGTGTTAGACATCTTACGGGCTTTTGTGCAGCAGAACTATTCTGTTTATGTGCTATTCCATCTATATCCTGAAATGAATTTTAAAAATGTTCTGGCGAGAATCACAAGATGACCTCATTGTAAGCTTGAGATATCTAAAGAAACGAAATATGAAATACTAAATATAGAATGTAAATGTTCCAAAGTCCAGATGATTCTGCGCGTTGTACGAATTAGGCTGAATAACTAAGTTTCACGTTGAATCCCATTTTTTCTTTCAAATTCTTTGAATCCTGGGTAAGAAAGGGGAAAGAAATTGTGGCTAACCATGGACTCAGAAACTTTTAAAAGGGTATCCTCATCATTTCCATTCTAACAAATAACTAAAAAATATAACAAGGAAGCCTTTTTGAGTACTCGTGCACGAGGACCACCCTCCTGAATAAAATAGAACCAAGTTCCTTGCAAAGACATCTTCAGATAGGTATCAGCGTAGTCGTATTCCGCAGTGAAATCTAAGTCTGGATCGCATACATGGGGAAAGGAGTACACGTGACGAAGTGCGGCTTGTAAGTCAGATGACCTGTGAGGTACTTCCGTTCAACAGTTTGATCTCAGTGGTTAGACTATATCGATCAATTGAAGGTCGCTTACGCGTAAGAAAACGTTTGAACTGCCCTACTTTCTCACCGAGAGGATATTCTTAATCAATGGCCGGTCCGACTTTGTGTATGTGAGTAATTCCAATCTGCAGTTTTCTGGTAAGAAAGGTAAGGTTTAACCAGTAGACTGAAACCCCCGTTAATTTTCTAGGCAGATGACGATCAACAAAGCATTTATGACTATTTTGTTCTTAGAATTTATGAGAACTTTCAAGCCTCTTATGGTAGTAAACTTTGAAAAGTCATTTTTTGAAGTAGGGACGAGATGGCTCAGTGGTTAGAGCGCGAATTTACCAACCGGAAGATCCATAGTTTGACGATAACCTCTCTATCTTGACTTCCACCGTCTAGACTTGGGCATCTTGGTAGTATCCTAATCCTTGTGCTTCTTTTTGGTAACATGGCAGCTAGGCACCGATAAGGTATTACAGCCGAACGATAATCTTTTATTTATATTGCATTCAATATTTCTGTATCGTCCTAGCACTAACTTGTCACGCACTTTTTTGGGACTCCTCAACACGCCCGTAAAACTACGATGGCTGTGAGTACCTTGGATTCTATCTGATTTTGATGATCCCAATTAGTCATTACGCGAGCCCTATCTGACTATTTTGTTCTTAGAATTTATGAGAACTTTCAAGCCTCTTATGGTAGTAAACTTTGAAAAGTCATTTTTTTGAAGTAGGGCGAGATGGCTCAGTGGTTAGAGCGCGAATTTACCAACCGGAAGATCCATAGTTTGACGATAACCTCTCTATCTTGACTTCCACCGTCTAGACTTGGGCATCTTGGTAGTATCCTAATCCTTGTGCTTCTTTTTGGTAACATGGCAGCTAGGCACCGATAAGGTATTACAGCCGAACGATAATCTTTTATTTATATTGCATTCAATATTTCTGTATCGTCCTAGCACTAACTTGTCACGCACTTTTTTGGGACTCCTCAACACGCCCGTAAAACTACGATGGCTGTGAGTACCTTGGATTCTATCTGATTTTGATGATCCCAATTAGTCATTACGCGAGCCATATCTGGTTTTAGGGATTTATATCATAAAATCGAATAAACCCATCGGTTAAAGTATTACAAACCCGTCGATTAATGGCATAATCTCTTGAACCGGCACAACTGAGTTGGTAGGCTTTTATCGGCAGTTCACTGGTCTTCGTACTATAATCCCCTATAAAATGGGCCACTACAGGGAAAATAAGGAGGTCCCTCCCCCGCAATGATGAGGGGTCACTGTATCTAGCACGTTTCATGGGGTATTCTGAATGATTTGACAAATACTTTTCTTTACGTACAAATTTGGTTCTTACAGGAGACTCAACTGAATCCAACTGAAACCTTGTGACGAAGAGTTCTCAGTAACCTTATGAGTAGTGCATTAGGTCCAAACAGAATGTCATTTATTTGATCAGTCTACTGTTCTTCTAGGATTGTACAGTGCAGAACATGTTTGATCCACTAACCAGCTTGGTCGATACAATTCAGGGTTTGTTAGTCGTTAGCAAAGCGAATAAATGGTGATGCTGAATTTCTCGGTGTTAGATGGGAACAGGAGAAAGTCAATCTGTTTACAATAAACAGCTAAGCGTCCATATTGTTTGCCAAGCAGCAACTCCCTTAGTTACCAGTAGGTAACAGTGTTCAAGACCCTAAGAACCTTAGAAAAGACTTCTTTGTCACTGTTTATCAAGCTTCGATATAACAGAAAAATCATTTTTCCACAAGGGCTGTCGACTGCTCCGAAATGTGTGCCCTACTTCAGTACACACACACACACACACAGAGAGCGAGAGAGCACGCTCGCCTCAGCAAACATGCTTCTTTGGAGTAGACTCCCTGGGGAAAAAGAGTTCCGTTTAGACCAATAATTGCTCCCAAATGTCGCCAACATCATTTAGTTTGAAATGCATACTGTTGCTGAACAAAAAGGCTTCCAGAGACAAAGCAGATTTAAAATCTCATGATGGCATTTACGATAAAAGCCGATCAACCTCGAGTAAATTCATATGTTTTTGCGGGTACTCTGATGTCTTTGCTTCGAAGCAACTCAACTAACACCTGGGAACTGGCTAAAAATGTCTAAAATTACAGGGTTTTCTTACTCAAATTACGCTTTTTAATATCTTTTGTTCGTTTATCGATCTCGTCAGATCCTTTGGTAGGTGTGAAATTGATGTAGTTCCGATTTTGGCTTGTACAGAAGTCCCTGGGTGAGCTCCCGTCACCAAAGAAGGCCGACTAAAGGTGGCGGCGTGAGGTTTGAATTTGTTTTTACAACCTTGGTAGTATGAACCATAATTGCCAACAAAAAGCGACATGTGTCTGTTGGAAATCTCTCCGGGAAAAACCTCGAGAGACAACCGCTGGTATGGGATGTCGTATGTTCCGATGTCCAGAAGGCATTAGGTAAAATGACATTCATTCGCTGAAGTCAATTTCCTTGAGACTCACCACAGTGAGGGGTTGAAGAAATGAGTCGAAATGGATCGGGATCATTCATGAACTTGACCATCCAGTCCTGTGCAATCCTGGACTGCGGCCTTTCCAAAGACTCTACCAAAAGGATACATCGGTAGCAAACTAATCTGTTTTTTTTCCCACAAAATAGGCAGGCAAATTTCTATGTGAACTGGACTGTTCGCTAGCCAAAGGGTGGCCAGACAATTAGGGTAGTTTGTATTGAAAGAACATGGGCTGAAAGCAGAGTTCGCCGTGGAACTAGTAACCAATCAGTTCGGACAGAAGGTCAAAAAGTATACTTGTCTTTGGTAAATAGAATTCAAGCGTGAAACCCATCGAAAGCATCCAACAGAACAATGAGTGCAACAAATCAGTGTTTTTCTCGAAAAACTAATCGTTTTTTTTTCCAAAAAATAGGCCGGCAAATTTCTATGTGAACTGGACTGTTCGCTAGCCAAAGGGTGGCCAGACAATTAGGGTAGTTTGTATTGAAAGAACATGGGCTGAAAGCAGAGTTCGCCGTGGAACTAGTAACCAATCAGTTCGGACAGAAGGTCAAAAAGTATACTTGTCTTTGGTAAATAGAATTCAAGCGTGAAACCCATCGAAAGCATCCAACAGAACAATGAGTGCAACAAATCAGTGTTTTTCTCGAAGTGTGATGCGTCCCATTTGGGGGGTAGAACGTGATTGGGAGGGAAGGGAGAAGAGGAGAACGGTGAACATATACTACTTAGCATACGTATTTATGATCAATTAGCACAAATTTATTGTCGTTTAGAATATCGATTTCGTTTGTGTTCTTCATTGAATCCGGGCGGCTATCATTGTAATGTCATAAGTGGCATCCACAAGTATTTTACTGTATGGCGATACACCCTCAAGTAGTTTTGTGGAGACAAAGCTTGTCCACCTTAGATTGATCTTAGTAGTACAATTTCTAATACTGTTTCTACTTACCATTAGCATGAAAACTATCCGTCTGAGATGAAGATGAATTCATAAAGTATAATCACTAAAGAAGATACAATCAGAAGATATTAAACGCATTTTTGTTTACAGACAGAATTGTAGAAAAGTCGAACGTTTGCTTGGTGCGCTTTTAAATTCATACTTAATGGAGGGAGATTTGTAATTTTTCTTAAGTCCTAGCTTGTAGATAACACAGGTTTTCTAAGGTGATTCCCAATCTAATGTTCATAGATTAAGGTATGTGGGCTGTCATACAACGAATAAAAGCGGTCACTTGTGAGCGACGGTGTCCATAAAACTGGTTTCCCTGCCTCTAGTGAAATACCGTTGTCTTCCGATATCTTGCAGTGCTTACTGTACATTAGTATGTAACACTGAGATGACCTACATGTAGCAAACTGTCTGGACGGCCTGTTTTAGATACTCCGTCAGCGAAAGTTCACTTGTTGCGGATCACTGACCTAATTTGTCATAAATGTACGGTATAATGAAATAGATCATCCAGTCAAATAGGAATAATTCTTGCAGATTGCTTGCTAACCATTCCAAATTAATGAACCATCATGTGTAAATGATGAGGGTTTGGCCATACCTCCGAAAGTTTAACCAGATGGAGGTCTTTCTTCTCCATATGGATCCCCATTTTGGCACCAATGGAATCGTTCGCGAGTGGAATGCGTCTGTGCTCTTTAAGGTCTATTAAACGCTTCGCCAGAAACGGAAGTTGAGCAGAGATCGTCAGATCTTTCCCAAAGACTAAACACTAGCTCAACGGACAACCGAACTACTTGAATGACACTCCCGCGGACCTGACTTAGACAGGAACGAAATCCATCTTTCGCACCATGATCTTATGAAATTTCCAACATTTCCCGTTGCCAGCTATCGGTAGGCATCCATGGTCTGAGTTCTCACACAAAAATGACTCGGCCGATGAGGTTTCATCTCGTGTCATTCGAAGACATTAGTTCCATTTTAGAATGCCTTCGAACTAAACATCCTCCCACCTATCATGTAATACCGTCCACGATTCATCACAGTCTCGATACAAGAGTTGCGAATTACTCATGCAGCTTCGTCAGTGACTGGGTGGAGCGCTGAAGTGATGAGTGGTGCTGACAGAATAAAGACCAATCTGCGCTGTTAGCCCACGCAGCACATTACTTATGAGGTTGCTGAAAACTCTTCAAAAATCGACGAACAGTTTTGACTTTCTTATATGGGGTGAGATGGCTCAGCGGTTAGAGCGCGAATTTGCTGACTGGAAGATCCATGGTTCGAATCCGACCTCTGCACCTCGACTTCCCCTGTCTAGGCTTGGGCAACCATGCCGTATCCCAGACCTCGTGCTTCCTTCGGGTGGCATGGCAGCTAGGCACCGAAAGGGTGCTACAGCTGAACGATTTTTTATGCGGGTTCACCGGGTAGCAACGGTCATTGTGTTTTGTTCTTGTTCTAGAATCCGCATCTAATTGTACTGTTACCTAATACGTTTCTTTACTCCCTCCTCACTAGTGTCCATGTAAGTTGTATAAAAGTGCCACAACTGCAAGGTTCACGCCTTTCTTCATGAAATTCCGATGTCCGATTGCCCAGTATGCCTGAAATACAGGCGGTCGAAGTGAGAAATTGAATTGACTGCGACACTGAGATTTCCATGAAAAAAGTGTATTGGTATATGATTTGCAGAACGGTCTGTGCGCAATGAGATAAGTGCCCCCGTTAGCTAGATGACGGTTACGATCTACAGAAGTACTCATGAAGACACATTTTTTTGACATATACACTCATTTTCAGATCAATTTGGGAGATTCAACTGAATCTCTTGTTTATGATGTTCTCCAGCTGAATGTGCTGCACACAGGCCGCCTCATGTTTCAGTCTCTCGTGAAAACCAAATTGATTTGCAAATGCGTGTATTTCTTGAAGAATTAACAAAATTCATGCAGAATATAAGTCTGACGAAATCTTGGGGACTGCATCTATCCGTACAGGAAGGGAGAAAGCGGTCATGGGGAGAGTTTTCAGCGACCTTATCAGTAGTGTGCGACGCTCAGTCAATTTTCACTAATTCTTCGTTACTGCTTTACTTATCAAGTACCTGGTCACAATTGTTCCCGTTGCGTTATGCACAGCGGATTCTGCGTTAATACTGAAGAAACTGAACTGGATTGTTTAGGTCTCGCATTTATACTTTCTGAAAAGAAGAGGAGGTCATCAAAAAGCTATGAGGCTGGTTTTACCTAACTTCGGGTCTCCCACAGAAGCCGTGTCAACAAAATTCCACAGTTTATTTTAGAAAACCCATTTTGTGTTAATTTTTACCACCTCGACTCTCTTCAAATTTTCGCTGCTAAGGCAATTAGTGGGACTGGCCTGGTAAACACTTCATCTGGCTCATCAATCTTCCGCTTTTCTAATGTTTACCTAATTGAGCAGGTCGGGACCCTGAACACATTTACCCTATGTATCCAAAATCGTCCGAGAAAAATCGCTAACCACAGGCAAACAAAATGACTCGTCGCAGTGGGGAGCGACATTCGGTTTAACCACCAAACACTTTCTACCCCCCCCCCCATCGCACCACATATCTTATGTAATGGTAGCCTATGGCCTATCCATTTGTAAACTTTTGTCTCGTTTCCAACTAGATGAGCTAATTAGTTTGTAGTCAGCAATCGTCCATAACCGTATCCTGATTAAGAATGGGGACGGGAGGTAGTATGCCGCTTTCGAAAGTTCTACGCATGCGCAGCCGTTTCTGCCCTTAAAACCTCAAGCCACCAGCAGCAACGTGTGTTCAGTTACTATCACGCAGAACAGAAACACGTATAGACAGACTCCCAAGGCGTGTTTTATAGAAAACCGGTTGGAACACGGTACAGCACAACTTCCCTCCCCCCGCCCCACATCCTCCATTTTCCAAATAACACAACCCTCAAGGGACAAGCGGACAGTGGGACAATGATAAATGGTCGGAAAAGAACTGTTGCAGTCACACACGTAAAGTTAACTCCAGTGGAAACGGTAAGGTTATGCTAATTCACTTAGGTGGATCAAATTTCCTGTGTGAATATTTTCTGCACAGTTTACACTACGGTTTTTCGGTTGACCCTATTTTCGTCACAGGCGAAATTAAACTGCCCGTGCACTATTGCGTCACAAAGGAGTGGTGGAAACCTGAATGATTTTTGCAGGGAAAGTGCGACTGTTGTAATGTGCATCATCCTCGGTCTTGTTAAATCGGCAAAGTAGAAATAGTGTAATGGACTAAACGTAACACACTACTCATGCGGTTGCTGAAATCTTTTCGACAACCCACCACTGGATTCAGTTAGAGCAAGCTATCAGAAACGAAAGATTCAGCTGGATTTAGTTGAGTCACCTGTCAAAACCAAATTTATGCGCAACTGAGAGTATTTCTTGAAAATCGCACTGGACCGTTATTTCGCGATATGATGGTATACGGTGTTTGGTAATTTCCCAGTCACCGGTCAATACAAAGTTAGGTTTTAGGAGCAGAGCAACACGGTTGGGGGCGAGTAGTAGGCTATGCACACCCGTGTGAATTGACGTATAACTGGCGCGAGAGTCTCAGCTGACTCCAAGCGAAACCACCCGTTTGTGACACTCCTCAGAGGAACGTGATGCACAAATGTCACCTAGTGTTTCAGTCGGTAAGGTATTCAAAATATCACTGCACAATTCCTTGGAAAATTATACTGCTTATAAAGTTGTTGAAAACTTTCGAGAAGTACACTCATTTGCAAATCAAATTGGTTTTCACGAGAGACTCAAATGAATCTCTCGTGCTGCACACAGGCCGCCTCATGTTTTAATTGGCACGATATTCGAGATATCGCAGCATATTTTCGTGATGGAAACTACTCACAAGATTGCTGAAGAGAACGTTGTCAAAAAGTTTTCAGCAACCTTGTGAGTACTTTCCTTGTTGAAAACTTTTTAAACAGCCCACTACCAATTTTCATATGTCTTTGGACTCATTGGTTGAGCACCGTTACCGAGTTTCTATAAAACCTGTATTCACGTAAAACAAAAAGTGGTCGGAAACTCGAGGTTCACTCCTAACTGAAGAACTTGGAATTGGGTGAGCCCGATGGTGGGTTGTGGCAGTGTTCCCAGAAAACCATACTACTATTACTTCTGCTAATAACAATAATAATGAAGAAAAAATGAGAAGGAAAAAATAAAATAAAGTAATAAAAAATTAAATTAACCGTCATAAAAAATGAGAAGGAATAAACTTTTCAAGAAATACACCCATTTGCGAATCAATTTGGTTTTCACGAGAGATTCAACTGAATCTCTCGTTTATGATTCAGTTGGGTCTCTCGTGAAAACCAAATTGCTTTACAAATGAGTGCACTCCTCGAAAACAGTCCAATTTGGGTTCAAGTAGAACATAAGTTTGACGGAAACTTGGGGACTGAGCCTACCTGATGAGCCTCAAGAAGGGCGAAACCGGTCGGGGGCGGTAGAAAAGTTTTCAGCAATCTTGTGAGTAGTTTCCTTTACGAAAATAAACGTTCCGTTTCAGCCTGCTTAGGACCGGAAACCAGAGAGTTGGGTGCATATTTTGCGGTTCTGCTGGATCATACGTGATGGTAGATGTGCTCGTCATAATCGGGTTACAAGGGAACTCGCGAAACTTCTCCGTCACCTAGGGTGCACCGTCCTCGAGGAGTTGAGAGCACCTACATCGTCATCCTTCATCAAGCCTGACCTAAGCGGTTTTTAAGGAGTGCCGAACAACTGTGATAGACTTGAGCATAATCACAGATGAGTGCGTTAGTTACTGCGTGAAATGAGAAGGAGCAAACTATGGTGCCGATCATTGTTTCGTCGCCATAATCTCAGTCTTACATGCAATCAATTGTGATGTCGAATTTTTGGTCCATCAACCGATGGTCATTTCATATCGAGGGATCTGCTTCAATTAAAATGGGACTTCCCCAGGTCGCAGTCAGTGACTTGTATCTGCTCACCATTTTGGATTCTACGTACCTACGA